AACCGAGACACCCATCTCTCCAAAACCCATCTTTCCAAAACCCATCTTTCCAAAACCCGTGACCACCGGACTCAATGAGCGTACTTCGCCACCAAGCGTCGGCCGGCTGGGGAGCGCTAAGGCTCCGCTACATTCGGGTCCCGAATTAGCGCAGACTTCGCGCACGTGCGCGGACGCTTGCCGCGTCTCCCCCATTCCCCGAACATGGAATTGTCGCCACACTTTGAAAGAATTTCAAATAGGAATCTGACCGCAATTATTACACCCTGAATTGGAAGTATCTGACCGTAATTACGTCATTCGAAAAGGTCCTGTGCGAGGATGCTCTCAGGGGGAAAGGTCCTGTGTGAGTATGCTCTCAGGGCATACTCACGCTAAGACTTTTCTACTTATTTATGGACGTAATTGTGGTCAGATGCATCCAGGTCGGACCGGAAATGCGATCAGGTACATTTAAACCCCCAGTACGTTTCCTAAAGTAGTGCGCCCGTTAACCAGCCACGACTTAAGGAAATGTACGTGTCAGTACAGGAGCGCCCAAATTCATCCGACTAGAAATGTGTCTACTCTATTTTTTTTTCCACGGCAGATAGCTGGGCCAAGTACTGGTGGCTTAAGATGGAGCTACAGTTTTCCCCCGAATACGACGTACGGTCATTATAGCTGAATTTGGTCTATCTTTCGGTATAAATTCAGCTATAATCACCACACGTTGTATTCGGGGGAAGACTGTAGTGTGAGTACGCCCTCAGACTGGAATTGAATGGGTGATTAGCCAGATCGTTGCTTTGTTTTCCTCTTTATTTATTTATTTTATTTTTTCAAGTTACCATCTTCTCTCAGATGTCATCACGGGGGGAAAAAAAAAAGATGTTATCGTCGAACTGACTGACCCGAAGTAATTCAGAGTTGTTTTGTTTATTTGAGGATTCAAACACAGGCACAACATTTTAATGGGGGTGTAATGTGGAGGTCCAACCTCTAACCAATGTTGTGGAAGTGAATTGAATTTTGAAGGAAAAAAAAAAGACAAATCAACTTTTTATGGGTGTACCATTATTCAGCCACATGGACCCCTTTTTTTTTTTTTTTTTTTTTTTTCCCGAACAACTTTCGTTTAGGGCCCAGTGGCGAAGGCAACAAAGAAACAGGAACAGAATAGTAGCCAATTCAGGGGTCGCCAGGTCTCCAACCCTGCTTCATCAGGTAGAGCCCCACCACTGGGGCGAGGTCCCACTAGCAACGGGATAGGATAGAAACGAGATTGTGGGGCAGTTGAGTGACCCAAATCCTGCCGTGCACTACTCGTGATCCC